TTTTTTTTTCCACTTTTGATTGATTGATTGATTGATATCAAGTGGGGGGGTTCACCTTCCCCCCGCGAACACACACACACACACACACGCACGCGGGGCAACTGCCCTTTTTTTTAATACCAATTTTTTTTTTTTTTCTGTTTTAAAAAAATCTTCTCTAAGGCCAAAAAATAGAAAAAAACTATGGCGTTGTAGTTCTCGAAAATATCTACAACCCCATATTTTTAGTTTTTTTTTTTTTTTTTTTTTGCCCCAAAAGCACCTTTGGACGGCCATCGTCCATACGGACGTACGGCCGTCCGTCCATCCATACGCACGGGCCGTACGGAGACCCCCCGTACAACGTACGAGCGATGACACTGGGGGAAGGGCAATCTGATAACGGGAGGAGTAGGTGATGGATGGACTTGGGGAAGGGGAGGTACGAAGCGACGAATTTTCCTGTCACTCATGGGGATCCGGGTGTAGCGGACAGTGTCGTGGATGCGGGGGAATCGAGGGTGCTCCTGTTGATGAGGGAGACAGGCGAGATAGTCGGGGTAGATGGTCGAGAGGGTGCGAGGGATAGTAGCGTGGAAATTCTCGTAATTTTCACAGACGGGAATTGTGCCCGAGATAATGAAGTAAATTTCGATATTACTATTAAATTCCCGCTTGTTCACACTGAAAAGAAGGACATGGAGAGGAAAGGAGGCGACGAAGGAGTGGGTGGTAGCGTGCGGGACGACAGTGACAAAAAGGCGGGTGGCGTAGAACTGGTGGAAGAGAGAGGGAGGGAAAGGGCACCATCCATCAGGGAATGGGGATCGGCCCAGGAGTTGGTGAGGGGTGAGGAAGTCAAGGGGACGACGGGAAAACGACCTGGGACGAAGCCCAATCGCCCATATTTCCACGAAGGCAAAGAGTGGCTCGAGATGGTGGAGAAGACGGAGCCGCGGATTCACTCCTTCGGTGGCGTCGACTTCCTGATCCCTCTGCAGCGGCTCTATCAGATTCTTCGCGCGGTGGCTCCGGATTCAGCGATGGATCGCCCAGCAGTAACCGTGGTGGCGTCCTTTCAAACTCTTCGACTGTCGTTTGCCCTCCGCTTTCTCCCGCCTCCGCTGCGCTTCAGCTTCCTCTTCCTCTTTGCTTCGCGGGGGACGGCCACTCGGCTCTCTCGATCCACTTTCCTCTTTCTCCTCCTCTGACCTGATGTAGTTGGGATCGTCTCGATCGGTGCCTGATTCTTCTTCCTTTGACTTATCTTCTTCTTCTTCTTCTTCCTCTTCTTCGTCACTGACTCCTAGCGCGTTTACCCGTCGGACAAAAGAGTCCCACAGTGTGAGATTGGTGACATCAATGTCGAGGTAGAGGCTCGGGGACGGGTAAGAGCAGTTATCCCCGTCCAACTCCGTATAAGTGGACCACAAAAGATGTGGCGCAAGCGCGCGAGCGAGCACGTCGGTCCTCGGCTTCCCGTCACACCTCGACAAGATGTCGAGAGGTAAATCGTCCGCCAGCTGCGCCAAAAACACCAGCAACTCGTTTGTGATTGCTTCGAGATGTCCTTCCTCCACCTTGCCAAATAGTATCCCCAACAATTCCGCCTCCGTACTCGTTCGTCAAGCTTACACGATCAACAGTTCCACCTCGTCGTCCGATACCTCACCCCCTTCAGCTTCGGGGGCTGGCTCCGCCCAATGAAACACCACACACACCAAACAAAAGTTGAGCTCTACGTAGGCGTCCCTCCACCCGTTCCACTTGTCTTCGTCCAAGATCGGTACGCTAAGCTCCCGGATTCCAAAAGAGAGGGCGGGATCGATCGCAGATTGCCAGAAGGTGGGGAGATCAGACAGAAGGTTAAAGAGGGAGAGCCGATGACGGTTCATTGGGCCGCTCGAAGGGGAGGAGCTCCGGGAGAAGGATCTACGATATGCTACTAGAGGTGCGGAGTCGGAGGTCTATATCGTTCGTGGTCGCGATTCTTTCCCCCGACCGAGCCAGCAACTCGACCCACGTGGCCGCGATCTCCTCGGCCCAACCCCGGAACTACCGATAGATGTCCGTGTGGATCGCCGGATGTAGCGCCGTAATGTCAGCAGTGAAAGTGACGATGACGGATATGTGGCTAACGCCAGGCGAGGACAGGCGCTGAAAAGCCGAAATCTCGACCAGTACACGCGTCGCCCCTGCCTGTACGAAACGAAACTCTGTTGCCGCGTGGATGGCTCCTGTGCTGAAGAAGGCGGCGAAGCGAAGGAGATCGGGACTCAACCGAGGTCGCTGTACCTACCGGATTATCGCTATATGCCCCCTCGGGGTCATGAGACGCTCGTTGATCACCTGCTCTGTCGAAAAACTCATGGCGATGGAGGCGGAGTCAAAGACGATGGTTGAGAGAGAAAGGAGGATTCTAGAGAGTCGTCGTCCTCGTCTTGACCAAGGGACAATGCAGACGATGGAGGAGAAGGGGAAGAGGGGAGAGGACGAAGGTAGGACACGTGTCGAATGATCGAACGAGCCGATCGACTTTCCGACACCTCCGGCGCAAGCCGCACCGTGTTTACCCCACTGGGACCGAGCTCGACGACGTCAAATCGCCCGAAGAATCGTGGCACTAGCTTGCCTTGGCGAGTACATTTCCTCACCTGCACGATGTCACCTAATTTATATTGGGGCCGAGGCCCAACATTCCCATTTTGGGCCTCATAACTCCGGACCTGTCTCCCATGGGGCATTTCTGTCATTCGTTATCATTTTCAAGTTAGTCGGGGGAGGACCTTTTCCATCAATTTTAGGGGGCACTGGGCCTTATTCTTAACCGTCGCCTTAGTGGTCCGTCGTGGAAGGGGCGTCTCATCATTTAGGCTCGGTAGGGCTACACAGGGTAGGCTATTGGTCCGTGGTTAGACGGGGGTCAGACCCGTGGATTCATGGGGTGTTCCCCGGTGGATAGCCATTATATGGTCCACGATATCGGGTCAATGCCTCGTATCATTTGCCACGATATTGCGTCGCAAGGCGATCTTAATCACCCGATTGGCCTTCTCTACCAATCCGTTAGATTGCGACATGTGGGGAGCAGTACTGCGGATGGAGACATCGTGTAAGACTAGATTCCTCAAGACGTCCCCTCTAAATTTTGCCCCATTATCTGTCAGGATCTCCTCCGTGTCCTGGTGTATTCCGAGAAAACGATTGAAGTACCGCGCGATTTCAGCCGCCTGCCGTGTCTTACATTGATACGCCTCGATCCATTTCGAAAAGCGGTCTACGAATACCAATAGAATGGAATACTCACAACTATTCGGTCCAGGGGGTACAACAATATCGGTGGTATCCATACTAACCCTCTGGAATGACCGTTCGACTACGGTACGCACAATCGACCTAGGCGGCTGAATTGGCGCCTTGTCAGCGGCGCAGACCTGACAATTCCGGACGATGAACTTAACATCGTCGCGAATGTTAGACCAATACCACTCATTTTTATCAATCGCCACCTCCCTGATTCGGACAGCAAAATGGGCCGCAATTTCTTCGTGGGTTGACTTAACCTAGTCATACCTCACGAACGGATGCGGGACAGACATCCAAATCCCGTTTCCGTCTGTTTTTCGTTTTTCTAACCGTCCCTCATTCCATCGGTAATCCCGAGCTCTCTCATTGGCTCGTCTCCGATCTTCCTTTATGAAATCTCGGAGGGTGTTCCCAACCACCGTAGCTATCAAGACGACATCTGTCCAAACTTCAACCCTTCTAAACCGTTGGATCTTTTCTAATCCTTCGGACGTGACTTCGAGAAATCGAGCCTCCGTCGGATTTCATCATCGCGACACAGAGTACACAACCAGGGTTTGTCCGCATTTCGGTATTGTATACAAGAACCATGGGCTCGGAAAATACATCGCTGACAATCTACCCACTCGACATAGCCTTCCCCACTTGATCGCATAGGGACCGAGTAAACTTTCGAAATTGCCTCACAAAAATAACAAAATTTGTCAAGTAGGGAGGAAAAGGAGGAGATGAGAGAGGAGAAAGGGGACCTTCGGGATTACCTCCGCGCCCCATCGCCATTGTGTCAATCACCCCTTAGGAGCTCGAGGAAGGATGACCACCTGTCCGTATGAATGCTCGTTGGTTGGTTCCGGTTCCTTCCACAGGGTAATCTCCTCCCTTTTAGTCACCTTGTCGGGTCGATGCAGACGTGTCAAGCGGTCAGCGTTCCCGTGCTTCTCCGTCTTTCGATGGACGATATCAGAATTGTATTCTTGCAATCGTACCGCCCAACGTCCAATCATACCCGTGTAGTTGGTGAGCCTCTTGAGCCTTGAGGGCCAGCAAGGGCTCATGATCTGTGACAAGGAGGAACTTCTATCCGTAGAGATATGGGTGGAAATATTGAATTCCCCAAACCACTGCGTAACACTTTCCGTGATAAGCTGATTCGTTTCTCCTCTCGTCAGGCACTGTCCGAGAAGCGTACTCAATGACGTGTTCACGAGTGTCTTTTCCCTTCTGGGCTAAAATAGCGGAGATCGCTTCAGGCTGCCAGTCCGTAATGAGTATAAGTACTATGAACTGCTTTTGCGGGTCCGGTCAGATCAAAATAGGCGCAGTAATCAGGGCCTCCTTCAAAGTGGCAAAGGCCCGCTCGCACTCGGTGTCCCACCGTAGGGGCTGGTCCTTACTCAGAAGATTCGTTAGAGGTCGTGCGATCGCCGTGAAACCCTTGATAAATCTGCAGTAGTACGAAGCCAGTCCCAAAAAGGCCCGAACCTATGTAAGTGATGTGGGCGTGGGAGCCTCTCCGATAGCCGCGACCTTTCTCGAATCTGGCCTTAACCCGCCTCACGTTACTACGTAATCTAAGAACGAGATTTCTGAGAGGAAGAACTCGCTCTTTTTCAGTGCAATTTTGAACCCAGCGTCCCGCAGTGCTCCCAGCGTCCATTCAATATGTTGTGCATGCCCGCGAAATGATTCTGAATAGACCAGAATATCATCCATGTACACGATAACACAGAAATTAATCATCCTCTGCATCAGTCGGGTCTTGTTGACGAAATTCTGAAAGGTCACGTTCATCGCCCTTTGGAACGTGGCTGGTGTATTGCAGATTCCCATCGGACAACGAATCCACTACCAGGTGCCTTCGAACAATACAAAGACCGTCTTCGACCAATCCTCCTCTCTAACCAAGATGTGAAGAAATCCATGGCGAATATCAGACTTACTGAAATAATTCGCACACCCAATCGCATCCAACGAATCATCAATCCGGGGAAGGGGATACACATCCTTGATCGTGATGTCATTGAACTTTCGATAATCAATGCAAATGTGAATCGACCCACTTTTTTTGGGACTAAGACCACAGGAAATGACCAAGGTCCTTGTGATGGTTTGATCCATTCGTTAGCCTCAAACTCCCTGATTCTTTGTAACACAATTTTTCTTTCTGCGAGAGAATATCTGTACAGCTTACAATGGATCGGGGGATGCGTTCCGGTCCGAATTTCGTGTTGAATAACTAAAGACAATCCAATATCCGTATCCGTTACGCTAATCGCATCTTGATATTCGGTCAAAATATCCGCAATCAGTCGATGGGTTTCGTTGGGTACATACTGAGGCACATGCAGTTCGTACGACTTTCCGTGTATGGTAACCGCCACGTGCTTTGTACTCGCTCTGTGGTTGTTTTCGGTAGGGGGAACAGAAATGAAGGATTCATCTGACCACCAGGAGAACACGGTGTCACGGTGGCAACAATATAAACGTCTTCTTCTCGGATGGCTTCGTGTTCCTCCGGGGTCACACCGTCGCTGATGTCTTGCCAGGGAACCGACATTACGTCGATCTTGATCCCGAGCTCGTAGAGCGTAGGGTCGTCGTGCTCAGGGGGTTCCAAAGTTTCACTTTCGGCCCCTAAGCATAATAATCGCACCTCCTTATCGGATGACAGTAGGGAACGAGGCAGCCCGGTAATGTCGCAGAACGCTTTCTTCTCTCGGTATCTCGAAAGAAGTGGGGTCGTAGCTTCATACAAGGTTCGAGGGGGTTCCAAAGAGTCGACCATCCAGGATACTTGTACGAGGCGTTCTCCAAAAATTAAAGCCCGAGTTCGTTGCAGGTTTCTTTCCGTAAGGACGAATGTTTTGGAAGTCCTCTGTCGGATTGGATAGCGAATCAGCTGTTGAGTCGTATCGAGATCAACTTCATTTTTGCCATCAGATTCGCTCGAAGAACTACGTTCCTCGTCCTCATGCTCGACTTTTCGAGTTCGTTGTTCCCAGGTGATTACTCGGAGAGCGACTCTGGCCCGGGGGGTCGGAGGGATTTTATGAGTCGTGGGCATCATGGTTCGCCTAGTTAGGCGCATTGGAATAACATACG